CAACTCCCCGATTCATTTGGAGGGAAACTTAAACTAGTTCCCATTCAAGATTGTTGATAGAGTTCTCTATATATTCATTCCATTTCACTCCAATATATTATTGTATGAAGAAGATACACAATCAGCAGACATTACTCAACACTCTGTAATTTGTTTCTTTTCTATGTGACATGTACGTATACGAAATGATGGTATTTATGTTAAGTATCACTAAATCAAAATTCAGCTTTATAGCACGAATGTGTCCGAACACAAATCCTACGAAATAGTTTCATCTATAATGCGAATCATATTCCTCTTAATCTCCCTTCCCTCCCAAGATTGATCAAAATCAAGATGAGAATTGGCCAAGTCAAAACATATTAACCTTTAAAGAAATAGTATAATTCCTCAACGCAAAAAATAATAATAAAAAAAAAAAGTCCTTATATGTTTGGTAGCTATTCCTAAGCACAATGAAGAAAATGCTCCAACTAAACATAACAATAATAATAATAATAATATAATAATAATAATAATAATAATAATAATAATAATAATAATCTATAAATGTTATAAATTGTAAATCCGACAAGGCATAAAAGTTCAGCCAGAATTATTCAAATAGCTAGGCCCCCCACCAGAATCCTGAGCCCAGCAAACGACCACAACATATAACATAACAAATGAAGCCACCCAAAAATAAACAAAAAAATTACAAATTACAAAATGACCATATAAAAGTTGCTAAAAAGCCCCCAACACAGTTTCTGGCTTTTTTCTGCAAGCCCCAAACGTATTAAATTATAAAGTCCCTAAATAAAAACACCCATTGCCTTGACTCTCCTCACCCGACCAACAACTTATTCTCATCCAAGAAACTGTAGGTTGGCACCTCCAGATTGTAAGGCGCTGGACCCTTCCGAATCCTTCCCGAGACATCATAGTGAGACCCATGGCACGGGCAGAACCATCCACCGAAATCCCCAGCATTCGGCAAAGGAATACATCCCAGGTGAGTACACACACCAACCACAACAAGCCATTCGGGATTCTTTACCCGAACCGAATCCTCCTGTGGGTCCCGCAACGAGGCCAAGTCCACGCTGTTTGCCGTCTTGATATCTTCTTCCGTTCGGCGGCGGATGAAAACAGGCTTCCCGCGCCACTTTACCGTGACAGTACTCCCGGGCTCGATGCTCGACAGGTCCACCTCGAGAGAGGCGAGGGCAAGAACGTCCTTGCTGGCTGACATGCTGAGGACGAACTTGAGCACAAGGAGACGAGCCAGAGAGGCGTACACGAAACGGCCGCCGGTGAGAATGAAGTAGGCGAACGCGCGCTTGCTCGGGTCGCCGGGCGGGTACCGTTCGTGGTTGCTCTCGTCGTAGGAGATCTTCGAGCTGGGGTTCTTGATCGCGGCCACTGTGGGGGGGACGTTTGGAATTACGGAGAGGTTATCCTGCGTGGGGGTGTGGATAGAATAGCCTACGAATGTCCACCGGAAGATATTAGGGGTTTGTTTAATGGAATTGAATTGGAGACTAATGTTGAAGGAAAAATGAAAAGCCCACTTCATAACACACACACAGAGAGAGAGAGAGAGAGAGAGAGAGAGAGAGAGAGAGAGGTGATGGGTGATGAAAAACGAAGCGACCATAAGAATTTGCATGTCTAAAAACTGTGGTTAATGCATATGGTTATGAGCTTTATGTGTTCAGACTAAATCTCTACACTATATCAAGGATGTGCAAATCAACGAAACATATAAATCAACTAGAGTCAATCACCTTAACTAAAGCCCTACAGAAGAACTATTCCACCCAAGCAGTGATATTGATTAATATGCGATCGCGCATGTGTGTGTGCGTGTGTTCACACATTTTGAAACTTCAAATTCAGCAAATTACTTATTGAATAATATTCAAAAGGGAACAAACCATTTGTTTACCCTTTGGGATAGTATTAAATGCGTAAGGCTTATGAATCAACCCCTATCCTCTGCACCACTTATCCATGATATGAATATAACAGATAAGCCAAGAACCAAAAAAAAAAAAATGTAAGCCTATCAGTCCGCACAAAAAATCTAATCAAGAAGGTTAGACTGATATATTGTGCAAGAGTTGGTAAGAGAAATCTTTGTTGCTCTGATTCGCAAAAACAAATCCTCTGAGATAGATTAAAGTAAAGATAAAAATGGCCCAAATTAGCAACTTTGTAACAAATTCAGAAGCCACAAACTGATTTTTTAAGTAAAAATAAGTTGTATTTCACAAGCAATGACTGAAAACGATAAAAATTACAAAATGTTATTGGATAGGCGCATGTACTAAAATATCCAAGAAAATGTCTAATGATGCAATAATATTTGTACCTAATAAGTGCTATCCTTCAATTCTCAATTAGCGTCAATATATATGATAATGTAAGCTACTCATGCTTATCATCTAACCTACTGATTCTCCCACCAGCGATACCTATAGTCAACATTCACCATACTGGCTGAGGAACATTTATTTCCACACCAACCAAAACAGAACAGCAGTAGCAACTAATATAAGCATTTAACCACAGAAAATATGAGGAAAAAGAGCTCATTCAATGAATCCACGAAAACCAAACAGAAACTAAGAAATTTGACAATTCAAATCAAACAAAAAATAAGTAGACAAGTTCCCATGAAAACCGTACATGAAACAAGAAATTTGACAATCCATCGGTTAATGTTCCAGAACACAGTACACATCATTTCTTTACGCAAACTAAAACAACATGAATGCCACAGATTTAATCAGTTGTCCCAGATTGAATCGATTGTCATGATATATCAAATCTGTTAATGGAAATTCAATCAAAAGAACAGCTAAAACGGAAATTTAATAAACTAAATGGAAGAGCCAGCTCATGTTAACGGAACAAAAAAAAAAAAAAATTTACTCTCGCTGGGTCTGTCTGAGACCTTTAGATTTAATCCAATCGTATAATTTCAATGCTACGCGGCATACAGCTCTCGATCTAATCGAAATAGGAAAGTGAACGAACCTCTGATTTGATCCAAAAAAGGGTTGGTGCGAGAGAAAGAGATGTCTGGCGAATCAACGGCGGAGAACGGATTCTTGGCAACGAAAGCGACCGGCGGAGCCTGACCGGACCGCCATGACAGAGACGACAGCCTCCTCCCAGCGAATCTCAGCATCTTCGGCGAACCTTAATCTAGGGTTCCTCTCTCGCGGAGCAGTGGGGAATTTGTAAGGTGGAAGAGGAAATGAATATAAGAAAAATCTGGAAAATGTTGTTGAGTATTTCAGATTCAGGTAAAGTGTACAAACCTTGTAAAGTTCAGTCTTATCAATTGCCGTCTTAGCTCAGTCGGTAGAGCGCATGGCTTTTAACCATGTGGTCGTGGGTTCGAGTCCCACAGACGGCGTTATCCTTTTTGATTTAATCAATTAGATCTGTTTTTACTTTGTCCTACTTTTCCCTTAAAAATTTGGCATTAAAACTTGTCAATTTATTTATTATATTAGTTATTAATTAGTTAAAAATTCACATTAAAAATAATGGGAGATACCCTTATAACAAATTTTGTAGCATAACTTTTTCTTCGAGTTATGATATTAATATTATCTTTTTATTCTTATATAATTAAGAGATTTTTTAATAGCTATAGCGTTATAATGGTATAAACAACTTCTTAAAATTACATAAATATTTCTACAATAATAATAATTTAATATCTATTTCAACTAATTAATTAGTCATAATCCCTTAAATTTACAAAGTTACCTTATTCAATACATTTATGCCATCTATTTTTGTAGTCATTCATATATAAATAAAATATTTTATAACTTTGTTATTCATTTTTTAATAATTAAAACTGTAAAATGTGGTGCATATATTCTATAGCTTATGTTATAATATCCATTTATATGAATTATAATATTTTGCTTGTCTATGTGTGTCCAAAGGATTGAATACTAGTTTCGATTAATTTCATTTCAGTTGGCATAAAGTATGATATAAACTTTCACATATATTATGATCTTACTATTATATGAATCACTTTTAACAGTTGGCATAAAGTATGATATAAACTTTCACATATATTATGATCTTACTATTATATGAATCACTTTTAAATCAACCAGCAGTAAATATGTATATCATTTCATATCATCCTTTTTAGAGTTTATATTATGTTTGATTTCCCCAATTAACAATGACGTGAGTATGTGATTTTTCACTTCTGGAAAATTCTACCCTACATTTTTTTTTCTATAACATTATTAACTTGAAAACTCAGAGAATACGAAGTGTCAATTGACACCAAAAGAATCAGAAAATCAGGATCTACCCCGGAACTACACATGTATTCAAGGAGTTACAAACTACATTAAAGAGACAACAACTCTATGAAGAATATTAGATGTCAAGCGCAGCTAGACTTAACAAACTGAAAAAAAAAACGAAAAAAAAAGACACACTCCTAATAAACAAATAGAATAACACCTCCCCTAGTTCTAGCAGGTGAACCACACGATAACTTAAACCGACAATCCAATCACACACTACAACAACGAACCCCAACTGAGCAACAAAACTAGACTCCATGCGGCCACTCGAACTGCCTAGATGGATCTAGCAAGGAGGTCGTTCTTGATCCAGATGTGGACTCCGAGGAACTTTGGCGTCGGGGAAAGAAAGAGGAGTCGTCGATAACACACCGAAGAGCTTGAGATTGGGACCCAATGAGGCCCACACAAGGTTGCTCGCAGCCAAGCGCCGGCAGGCCGGTGGCGCAGCCGAGCGGCCACAACCTCACAGATCAAGAACAAAGACGCGTGAGACCAAAACTCCAGCATATCGGCGGGTTCCCTCGGCAGGGGGCTAGACGCGACGTCTGGCAACGCCTCTGAGGCTAGGGAGATAGGCAGGGAGGTGAGACCAACCACCTGCAACGTCTCCCGCAGAGCTTCGGAAGAGGCGGGAGGTCGCGGCTCAGTGGAGACCGGTCTGGTGGCTGCAGCGATCTGACTGCCAAAAGAAGTGTGGCGGTGGAGATTTCAGAAAATGAGTTTGGGGGTTGGGGACAACAGCGTTTCGAGTTTGGAAGAAAGAGATTGAGTTTCTTAAAATTTAAATTCAATCCTACTTGACCACACCAATTTTTATATGTGAACAACTTTATAATTTTTGAAAATTCAATCATACCACACCAGATTTTATATTGTTGGATCGACACTTTTATCTTTCAAATTGTTTGTTGACAGTCGACCGCCACTACAAGAATACACTTCAATTCCAATGAAAAATTCCAACGACAAAAATTTTCGTTGGAAATTTCAATGAATATTCCAACAAACTTAATTTTATGTTGGAATAAGTGTTGGATGGTTGAAGAATTCCAACGGATTTTTTCCGTTGGAATAGTTGTAGGAATTTATTTTCATAGGATTTTCCGTTGGATTTTAGCTATTCCAACGGTCGTTTTTCCCACGAATTTTTATACGTAGGAATATCTATTAGAATAATTATTCCAACGGAAAATATAAAGAATTCCAACGGAAAATTTCCGTTGGAATGTAGGAGTTTTTTTTTTAGTGGCCAACGATTATGTATTTGTATTTAATAGACGACTATATCGAGGTTTACTGGACAATTAAATAGAATGTAACTGCAAGAACGTAAATAAGGAAAACAGTCATTCCTTGTTTTTTAAAGGGTGCATAGGGTTGTATTTATACATAGAAAAAGATAAAAGTACAATTAATACGGCGTGCGAGCTAAGAGCATAGGGTGGCGCTACGTTGATTCATGCAAAACTCAACTTTTGAGGATGTGACAACTTGCACGGTGACTTTATCAACTTTTAATTAATTGTATTGTATCCATATGAAGGGAGATGATCAATCCTCCTGGGGGAGTTTCGGGATGAGATCAGCATATAGGTTCGTCAGTCGATCGGAGAGATTGGCAGATCTTGCTTGCGCTGCTTCTTGAGCCAATCGTGTGCAGATTTGTAGGCCCAATAATCATCTGGCATGTCTTGATGGACTAGTCCAGAGTTCGTAAAAATTTAGGTACAACGTTGTTGGATCGACATTGTTTATCTTGATCTAAGAATAAAGAATCCAATTGTCAAGTTGGGATTTTTTTTCTGATTTCTTGCATTGTTCTTACCTAGATTATTTGGTGAAGTGGTTGCTAGTTTTTATGATGGAAGTTGTATGCATAAAAAAAGCAGCATGAAATGTGTATGATTGTATTTTTTTCACCACCTACATAGGCAATAATACGGCCCCCCATACTAGATCAATTTTTATAAGGTTAAAAGGGATTAAACACACTTTTCGGCCTTCACATCTTACCCCACCGCCATGTGCCCATTACCCTTTATAAAAGAACATCTCATGACTAGAAATTCCTTCAACTTTCTGAAGTGATCAATCAATTTTCAAGTTGAAATTTGTATATGATTGTAATTTTTCACCATTATTATTTAATGGATAAAGTCGTGATGCACGGAGAAGTGCAGTTTCAACTTTACAATCAACTGCAATTCTCCATAGAACGGCTAGGTTTTACGTTGACTCGCCAAGCTTATCACAGCCCTCCTCCTATCAGCTGCAATTCAATCACTTAAATCACAACTAGTTCATATGTTGTAATTTAACCATATAATCATAGATTATACAGTAATCAGTTGGGAATTTGATGAAGGTGTTAAAAACCAGGTGCAGCAACATTTACCACCACCACCTCTAACTTTACTGATATATCATCTTTTGCCCACAACAGATTTTTTGCAAATAAAAGGGCTGAAACTAAACTGTTAAAAAAAAATTCCTCCTTTTGATACAGTTCTACAGATTTGAAGCCAACTAGAGAATACAATACCAAAAGATACAAAAGAAAATGAAAAATAAATTAAAAATGACAAATCAACTGGGAAGAAGAAGATCCTCTCTTGAAAGAAAATGCTCCTGCTACCTTCTTTTCTTTCTCCTGTCATTTCCCCTACTCGATTCCAAGTACTAAATAAAGAAAATGAGCTAAAAGATTTTAAAAAAGCTGAGCTTCTCGATAGCATTTTCATATGCCCTAACCTCGTTCTTTATTCTATACTCGGTCTCTCAATGGCGCGCTTCAAATTTTCCAAGAGAAGTAAGTAACTCGTCCCTTTTCAGACCCTCTCGGTTTTCGTCACAAATCACTTTACATTCAATCACTAAATTCATCTCAAGAACATAGAAAAGACCACCCAACCTGCATACATTATAGACAAGAATCGTTTTATAGAAGATGATACTATAAGTTTACCAATGCTTCATAACCAAAACCATTTCATGCTTACTGAAAATCACTTAGATTTGATGTGGTTAATGATTCTACTTATCACCACCATTACAAAGTAGTGTATAACCTGACATTTTGCACGACAAATGTGATGAATAAGTCTCTAACAATAATCTGATGTGGTTAATGATTTCAGTTTTGAATAAGTCTCTAACAATAATCTGATGTTAGGTTAGCTTAAGCATATGCATACATACTTTTCGCAACAAATGTGCATATTTTCTCATTTAGTTGTCATACTCTTGAGAGAATGTGTACACAACTGTGACCAGTTCGCATCGTAAATATACATTTGTGCAAAATGATAGTCCTGGTAAGAGTTTTTTTCATTCATATATCCGCATTAAGAAAGAGAGAGAGAGAGAGAGAGAGAGAGAGAGAGAGAGAGAGAGAGAGAGAGAGAAGGCAACTGACCAGACACGCTACACTTTCTTCCCGCCCGTCAAACTGTGAGGACGAAAGGCGGAGCATCCTTTCTGGGCCCGGCCACCGTGCGGTAAACATAAACCTTCTCCGCGTGACCCATCTCATACTCGTCCATAATAACCTCCACGTTAAGCCCCGGGTTGGCATCCGCCAGAGCCTGGCACCCGTCGAGCGTGACCAGGCAGCCCGACATCCAGAGAGACCTCATGGACCCGTACATCTCCCGGCCCGCCAAAAGGGCCGTGTTCCCAAACTGACTATCCCTTATCTCGAGCTTCCTCAGCCTCGGGCACCCGTCCAACACGCACTGCATTCCCCAATCGGTCCCATCAGCAAATGCCACAGACAAAGTCTCCAAATTCTTAGCATAGTTCCCAATATACTCAAAGGTCATATCGGTCAAAAGGCCCGAAACAGAGAGGCGCTTGAGGCCCGTGCAGGTCTTGGCGACTGCTGCAAAGGCCTCGTCCATAGGGAGGCCCGTCACGTAATCGGGCTGACGAGGGGTCATTATGCAGAGGCGGAAGTGCGTGAAGCCCGGGCAGCTTCGGACTGCTGAGACAACTGCAGCATTTGTCATTCGGTGGCAGAAGTAGAGAATGTAGTGGAGTCGAGGGCATGTTCGGGAGACAGCTAAAAGGCCCGTTTCGGATACGCCTTCGAGGTTGTCTTGGTTGTACGGGTCTGAAGGGAGGACACGAAGCTCCTCGAGGAACGGGCAATTGGGGCCCACGGCCTCGAGACCTTCGTCTCGTACCGTGTCCACGACCTGTTAATAATAACAATTATTTCGAATATCATTTTTATATATATAAGCGAAAATACAAATTTCAGTCCTGTTGGTTTAACGGCATAGCAATTTCAGGTTTCGACTTTTCGCCTTTCTTGTCATGTGATTTAATATTTTGTTGCAATTTCAAAAGACTGAAATTGCAACATAATTTCAAATTACAGGACTAGAATTGCAACATAATTTTAAATTTACAGGACATAGATTAGCTTGCTAATCGAAAATCTAGGAATTCGAGAATTTGTTGCGATTTCAGTCCTCAAACGACTAAATTGCAACAAATTATTATATCATAGGACCAAAAGACGAAATGTTAAAATTTTGGTACTAAAATTACTATGAATAGTTTTTTTCTTTACCCAGAGGCGCCGTAGGTGAGGACAGTGAGAGAGAAGCTTCTCGAATTCGGCACTCTCGATGGGGGCATTCGTGAGGTCCAAGAAAGTGAGTCCACCACAGGCTCCATATACCAGAGGCAGATAGAGGGCATTAGCTTCCCACAGTCCAGATAGGACCTGCAGATTCTTACAGTTAAGGAAAGCTGTCTCGATTTCCTCACACTGACGAGGCGTGAGCTCCTGCATGAACGAGCCGGTCCCCAGTACAGTCAGCCCGGGAGCGTGCACGAGGAGTCTCAGCAGCTGGTCCAATGTGACGGTCTCGTTGACTTTCAGGACTCTCAGGGATTTGCATCGGGCGACGAGCCTGTCCAGGTCATCAAAGCTGACCTCACCGCTGAGGCTGGCGAAGTTAAGGATCTCGAGGGAGGAGAAGTTCTCCGGGAAGCAGCTCAGCCAGTCTCCGCTCACTTCCTCAGTCATGCTGTCCTGGATGTTGAGCTCTGTCAGGTTCCTACGAGCAAAAATCATTGAACACACGTAAATATACATGGAATTCATAAATACACACGTAAAAGCATCAAAGCTGTCACCTTTTAACAAATCCCGACGTAACAAACATTATCGAGATATAAACTACAAATGTCATTTAATAAGAGCAACACAAACAAAAAGGCACTGATCTCAAATGAATGCAATGACAAAATCAGTTGGCTTCCTTTCAGTAAAATCAGAGCCTCACAACATTCAACAATGCCATTGAACGGGAAAATAGTGCAAAACAAAAAAAATTACGATCAAAACCAAGAGGCCCGGTTATCTTTTAAAATCTTATTCAGATAAAGCTACAAATTAAAAACCACATTAGGCGAAAAAATATTAAGACTCCCCTGTGATTCTGATACGTAACTAACGGCAAACACAAGTTAAGTAATGCTAAAAATGGCAAAAATTTATCTGAATGAAAGAAGAAGATGACTCCATACCTGCAATTACTAGCAATGGCTTTGAGCCCATTTTCAGTGAACCCTTCACAGCTCGTTAAAGACAGAGCCTTGAAGTAAGGAAAAGATTTAGCCAAAAGCTCTAAGCTCTCATCAGTCACATTCATCCTCTTAAGTCTCAGCTCCTCCAGAAAAGGGTAGACTTTGGAAAACATGACCACCCATGGATGCACGCTAGCACCCCAATCGTGCGGCAACAGATTAAAGTCCGAAAATCGAGGCTTCCCCTTAAGCGTGACACTCTTGATTCTTGGAAATCTTCGGGCCACAATATCAGGAGACACCGAATAGCAGTTTCCAATGAAAATCTTGGATCTTGTCCATCTCTCAGCGTTATACCAATCTTTGCGGACGAGGGAGACCGAGCTTCTGTCTTTATGTGAGTCTATGAATGAAAGCACTTTTTCCAGAGCCTCATCTGGGAACAGGAAGTTCGATGGAGGGTCTTCGCGTTTTTCGGGCTCTGGATCCATTTACTATGGAAGATGGGTTGATAAAGATTTTCAGAAAACCCTCAAGACTTCACATTAGCTGCAAATTTTTAACAATAAGAAAATCAAAAACTATTAATTTTCGGATAATAGGACCCATTAAGTTTAAACGCCTTTTGGGTTCTATTTAAGTGGTACACAAAGTTGAAATTCGAACTACCCTGAAGAGAAAAATCAAGGATTTTCGAAGGCCAGATGCTATCTTTCAGAAATTTCAGAGATCATTTATTTGACTGCACACAACTACAACTTAATCCATGAGCCATTTAACAGAAAGTGAAAGCTAACCCCAAAAATTGGGTAAACGGGTTGTCATTTGGGAGAGAAATTATTGAGAAAATGATTGAGACGGCTCGATTTGACAAAAGGGGTGAAAATAGTACACTAAAGTAAGCCAAGAATTTCAACAGATTGAGCTGAAACAAATTAGCAGCCCCCATCTTGCTTACTCCAAGAAAAATGCAAATGCAAAAACATCACAAAATTCATACACAGACCAAAGTAACCAGCTAAAAACCCCCAAAAAAACTGAGATCCACCAAAAAGACTTGTTTTTTCTTGCAAAAAAAACACTTTAGATCCAGTCCATAGGTAGTCCGCAGAATAAGTACATATGCAGCTACTGTGTTAGAAAAAATTAAAAATTAAAAATGAAAAGCCTTGAAAATTAAAGAAAGAAAATAGAGAAGAAGAAAAAAAATACAAAACAGAGTAAAGGGTTTGTTTACCTCTGTGTGATGAGTGCTCGGAAGAACTGAACAGCCAAAGAAAAAGCTCAGGGTAGCAACAGCCAGTTGCATATTTTTATTATAAAATATAATAACAAAGAAAAAAAAAAAGCCCAATAATTTCTACTGTTACAGCTACTGTTACAGAAAAAAGGGCCAGAAAGAATATCTTTTCTTTTTTCTGGTTTGATGATGATGAATTATATGGACAAAATACAGATACGAATACGAATATATATATGTGTGTGTATGTACGTAAAGTGTTTAATTATTAGGGTGAAATAGACACTTGACGAAGACGAATTGTGCGCACGGTAGTGATGTGCGCACGGCTTCTCATTGGCTGACGCGTATTGTGCGTCGAGTGGAGCGCGGCGCATTTTAGTTTTCGTTCTGGGTAGGTAGGTTTAAGCTAGTCATTTTTTTCTGGTTATTTTTGTTTTTATTTACAGCGGTGATCTTTTCTTCTCAACGGAGTCATCTATTGGCCGTCAACTCTCAAGGCATCAACCTACTCCAATGAACCGATGGTACTATTTATTACACTGTAATAATATTTATTTTTTTTATTATTATATTTATATTGTTGTATGTACTAATAAAGTTTTAACTAGTACTAGTACAGTGTATTACACAGGTGCTTTTTAATTTTTTTTCTTAAAATTTAAAATTAATGAAAAAAAATAGTTTAAAAATTTAAATACCTTTTATAAGAATATAATAATATATTATGATACTTTTTATTTGTGCGACCTAATTGTGTTATATTATACTAATTTTTTAACTTACAATATATAACTACATTAAATATAAATATATCAATTGAGAAATAATTTTATTTTTCTAATGAATTTTAATAAATATTTTTATTTTTTATTATTATAAAGATAAATATAATTTATTTATTTTATATATACAATATGGATTTCAAATCGAAGATCATCAAAAGATGATTAATTTGATATATTATATATGTAAAACCGATAAAAAATACAAAAGTTATCTACTTTTAAAATACATTTATAATTCAAAATCGAAAGAAACAAATCAAAATTTAGGGATATATTAGTCACTTAGTGTCTCACTATGTAAAATTACAAAGAACTAAAAAGTTATATTAGTAAAAGTGATATTAAAATACCTAAGTTAGCTAAATAATATTTATGGAATACATGAACCTAGATTATTAATTATTAATATATTAATATTATTTGTCCAAACCTAATTACGAAGCATGAATCTTCGCCAAATAGGATTCCGAAGCACCAGAAGCAGCCACGTTGGCTCAACGTATTCTGGAATTATATATAAGGAGGATGTATCCCGTGCAGCACTGAGTTAAATCAGTTATTTTAACATAGTCTATGAGTTTAAGTATAAAAGCAATTTGGTTATTATATATTTTACAACTCTTTTAATATTAAAAATAATAGGGTTATAATCCATTTTCATATCTTTTAAATCATCTTTCCAATTCTTTTAATGGCAAAAAACAATAGAGTTATAATCCATTTTCGTCTCTTTTAATCATCATCGTTATTTTTTTACCAGAACATTAAATATGAGCGTGTTAGGACTAACTTGTGAAATAATTAATATATTATCTCATTAACATATTTATACTAATATAAATTTGATTTTAGTATATACATATATATATATATATATATATATATATATATTTCTTGATATAAGAGAAAATAACCGTTTTAATTATTTTTGTCCACAATATAATACTTAATTATTATTTTATTATAATTTTATTGTCATACAATGATATAATGTCATTTTTATTTACAAAAATTGTATGTATTCTTTTTCTTTTTATTTTATGTAATGCAAAATACTCAAGGCACGTTATTATTATTTATTTATGTAATCAATTTAAAATATGTATATAAATCTAAAATTAAATCGTGTATAAATATTTTACAAATTATACACACATGTTTTTTTTAAGAAAAAAAAAAATATTTGTGTATACTAATTAAACAACTTTGATTTAGGAAATACCAAAAACTCAATCCCTTCTATAATCAACTTTTTTTTTTTAATTTGCATTATAAGGATTTATAGTTATTTAGCATACTCTTCGCAGAGCTTTTCGCGCAGCCCGATGCCGTTCGCGTTATCCACCTCGTTTGCCCCTCTTGGAGCCACGGATCTCCCCCAGATGTAGGTCTCGCCGATCTTCAGGGTGCCTTTTATCAAGGTTAGGGGTACCCGGAATTCCAACGAGTTTCGAATAGCCTCATCGGAGCTGGTCGGGGATGAGGTATGGCTCTTTCTCCCTTCCTTTTGTCGTCTTCTTGGGTTTGGTGGTCCGGCTGGACGGTTTATTAGTCGTGGGTTGATGGTGTCGGGGTGGTCGGTTGGTGGTTTGAGGATTATTGGTGGCTAGGTGGTTGATAGGTCTGTCTTGAGGGTTCAGTCGGTGGTAGGGGTGTCGGGGTCAACCTCCGGGTTCAGCTTTAAGAGTGGTTTGTCTGGCATAAGATTTGTATCGTTTGGAGCGGTTACAGCTATAAGTGACTACATTGGATTTTTTTGAGCAGTGCTCGAGTCGGAGTTCTATTTGAGTGGGCGACTGTCTCGGGGTGTCGGGTCGTGGTACGCTGCGGTTCATTTTTCCTATTGAGAGAAGGGTGTTATTCTATTTTATGTGTGTGTAAATGTGTTGTTGTTGGTGTTTTGTTGTAGTTTTGTGTTTGTTTTGTTTATTTTTCTTGTTTTGCTGCTAGTTCTCCTCTTGTAGAAATGAGGGTCTCCCTTTGGAGTTTTAGTTTGTTTAGTCTGTTTACCTTGTGGGTGCGTTAGAGTAGTCTCTATAAGCTCATGTCGTCGGGTAATCTCCTGTTAGTTTTAGCTAGATACCTGCTTGGATTATTTTAGTTGTCCGGTTGTATTTTGTGTTTTTATGTATATAGTCTATTGTTTAAAAAAAATAAAAAAAAAATACACGTGGAGTTAAATGTAGCGTAAATGGTTGGAGACCAAACTTGATTTTTGTTTTGCTCTACTCTAGAGTGGAGTAAACTATGCACTAGAGTAAAAATAATGATTGAAGGTGGTCTTAGGGCTTCTCCAACCCTGCTTCAGAATAGAGAGCCCGTAAAAAGCCACCCAACGTGTATTAGCCGATGATATATACATATGGGAACTGTTGTATGGCCACCCAAAATCAAGACACTGGGATTGGTCTTGTAAATCAATTCCTAACATTTCGAGCACAACCAATAGCTAGTCGAACCTCTTGATCACATGTTTAACCATGACCTAATGTGTTCGTCTAGGATTACTTTGAACCTTATGTGCAAACTGCCACGACTCAGGTTGAAACACGATCTCACAAACAACCACAAGATCAGAGCTCTGATACCTGCAAAACACCGGGGAGGAGTGGCGACGAAAAATGTCTGATGCTCAAGTCAGTGTTTTGCATGTGAGATAACATGTCATATGCATGTTTTTTTCGTGTGCATATGCGATGTTTAAAATAAGAGAACCTGGTTACCCTTAAATAGTTATAGTATCTTGATGCTCAATAGAGTCATCGCTATGAAAGAGATCCTCTCGTATCTTCTTTCCTAACTTACCACGTCTCTAAGATTTGAGATACTTAGCAAGATATACTTTCCTTCCGTGAAGGATTCTATCCCCTCTTACCACACGACTTTCAGGTCTTGAGGTCTGCCGCAAGCTTTATCTAGATCGTAACCATGATCTCCACCTCCATAACCTACGAGCCTTGAGGTCCACTCGAGTAGCCGAGCTCTTGAGGTTTTCCGGCCTCTGAGCTACCCGTCTGGGCTAATCTGTACCTTTAGCCACCAGGCTAACCACCTTGGTCGGTTCAACGAGCTATTCTTGATGCTGTATCATAATCGTAAATATCCAGTCTCATACTTTGCATTGTACATTAGGCTTCTTATAACCTAAACATAAGGAACTGCTTTTTTGTCCTTCATTTAATATATAGGGAAACTCCATGTTACCGTTTTGAGAGCTCGTCTTCAATGTAATGTGATAGTGGGTGGATGAGAAGGACACCGATTGGGGAGTTGTCGTCCATTATCGGAACTGCTTTTTTGTCCTTCATTTCATATATAGAGAAACTTCATGTCGGAAAGGTAAAAAGTACCAAAAAAATGTGTACTGTTTTGAGAGCTCGTCTTCAATGTAATGTGATAGTGGGTGGATGAGAAGGACGCCGATTGGGGAGTTGTCGTCCATTATCAAGAAGAAGAAGAAGAA